GCAACCTTGTCCTTTTCTTCTTGGGATACTACTTCTTTTCTTGCTTTCTTTCTTTTTTTTTTTTTTTCATTTGCTTAGTGGTTATTTGCGTATCTTTTTTTTTTATAGCATTTTATTTTATGATTAGACATTTGTACAGTTTATGAAATAATCCCCCTGATGACTCTGTCTTCCCTCTGGCTCTCCACACAGTCATTACCCTACTGCTGACTGCGTTCCCTCTGCCGTGCTCCCCATCCCCGTGACCATCTATCAACTACTAATTGTGCTTCTTTAACCCTTCACCCCCTTCTCACAGCCCCCGACTCCCCTCCCCTCTGGCCATCATCAGATTGTCCTCTATATTTGTGAGTCTGTTTTGGATTAGTTTGTTCTTTTTGTGATATTTATCTTTCTCTGTCTGACTTTTTTCACTCTGTGTAATAAACTCTAGGTCCATCCACGTCATTGCAAATGGTAGGATTTCATTTTTTTAATGGTTGAGTAATATTCCATTAGATATATGAATCACATACACATATGAACTATAACTTCTTTATCTAGTCATCCGCTGATAGGAATCTAGGTTCTTCTTAATTATTGTTGGACAGTACTAAGGCACCTGCAAGCTTGGCTGGTTAATAACCAACTTGGAAATGTCTATCTCTAATGAATTCTGATTGGAGACCCTAATTCAGGTTAGGGGATCATTGCCAATTTAACTCCTGGGGATCGTATAGGGGTACAGATACCTAAGTGAAGGGGGAGGCTATTGGAAGTTGGGGGTTAAACTGTGACAAGGAGGAAGCAGAGGTGGAGGACAGGCAGCACGGGAGGGCCGGCCCCTGCCACTGAGGGGCTTTGAGTAGACTCTAGCGGAAGGATACCTGGCGGACAGCCCCACGTGCAGCAGGTGTGCGACCAGTGTAAGTGAAGGACGAGCAGTTCCTGGGAAGCGTGGTCTCTCGGGCAAGCTAACCTCCCACGCAGCCCCATGGAGGGAGAGATGGCCATCTGAAATTTTCATGTCTAAAACCCATTAAAATGCTGCTATGGTATTATAACGCTGACAGAAGAAACAGTAATGGGAAGCATCTCATCTGAGATTTATAAAAGTAACTTGGGTTGTTTTTGCTTCTTGAAGGTCAAACTGAGAGGTCAAAACAGACCCTTCCTGAAGGAAAATCTATTGGTCTAGAAGATTCTATCGACTTCCTCCTGAGAGGGGGAAGAGGCAGGCTCGCCCCAAGGAGCCTGAGGCTATGGGGCTGGAATCAGAAACCGACCAGTGCTATGTGTACTCATAGGTTCAGAAAACGGGGTGCTCCCTTTGATCTTGGCCTCTGTCCTTGACCTAGTTCTTTTATTTGGTACTTGAATCTTTGCCCAAACACGAAACGGCCTTTTCTATCCCTGATACCTCAGTGCGGTCGGGGCGCTGAGAGAAAGCTCCTGTGGGTATGAGGGTGACTGGCGCCGATCAAGTGGTGGTGGGTTAAAGAGGGCCATCAAGGGTCAGCCCGTATCCCTTCCCCTCACATCGGGGTAGGTTCTGTGACTACTCTGACCAAGAGGATATGGCAGAAGTGAGAGAGGAGTTTTCACTTCCTGTCTTTTGGAACACTCCTTCCTGGAATCCTGATCTGCATATAACAATATCGACTATGCTGAGCTGCTGTGCAGAAGACCAGGGATGCTTCGCAGAGATGCTGCGTGAACAGAGTGATGCTCGCTCAGCTCTTAGCTACGCCAAGCGCCCGGCCCAGGCACCAGACATCTGCATGGAGGAGCCCCCTCAATGCTCCAGCCCTGACCACCATCTGACACCAACACAAGAAAGACCCTAAGTCAGAGCTGCCGAGCTAGGCTTGCCCACACGCAGAATTGAGAGAGATAATGTATATTTTCTTCAAGTTATTGCATTTAGGGGTGGTTTGTTATGTAGCAATTGATAATTAAAACTCAAGGCCGGATTTCATCCCAGAGCACCCATAGAGGAAGATATACCCCCAAGAATGGGTTGGCTTGTGAAGGAGGTCTAGGCAAACCAGAAAAAACTGAAACTACTATGAGAAAACCACGAACCGAAAAGCAACTGAGATAGAAGGGCGTAGGATTGAGGTGCCATAAAACTGGCGCTTTGATTTTACAGTGCTCTTCTTGATATTTAATTTCTTTAAGAAATGTTTTAATTAAAAAAGATGCACTTTTAAGAAATAGACACTGTTTGTGGGCGTCATAATCGTCCTTGATCTGATTTTTATGTCTTCACTGAATTACCTTCTCATAGTAAGTTATTATTTGGAGAAAGGGAGAAGCAAGAAGAAAGGAACTTAGGCAGAAGGACACCTGGGGAAGGATGATGATGCTCGATGCCCAGTGAGCACTTCTCATGCACCAGGTAGCTCTCCCGGCTCTCTGTATGCATTAACTCGATTAAGCCTCCAAGCAACCCAATGTAGTGGTTATTATGGCCTCATTTTACAGTTGAGGGAATCTGAGGCCCAAAAGGTAAGAAAATTGCCCAAGATTACACATTCGGTTAGGGGCAGGATGGTCAGCCTAACCTGGGGGGTGGGCTCGCGCAGTTGGAGTTGACAAGGGCTGCTCAGCTTCCTGAACAAGGTCTGCCCCCCAGACTTCTTCCGCTCTGACACTTACCTGGGCAGGAACAGTTGGCTCCATTTTCTCAGGGTTTCTGGCTGTAGAGAGGCCTCTACCTGCTGCATCTTCCCTGAGTCAGGGAGGACCAGCAGGGTCCGGGCGTTGCCGCTGTATTCGATCTGGAGGACGGTGCAAGCCATCTCTTGGTCATAGAGGAACCTGTGCATTTCCTTTTGGTGCATCATGGGGATGCGGAGGGTGGTCCTCTCATCCACAAAGAAGCTTGCTTGCTTCTGGGTCTGGTAACGATCGAAAGGATGCTTCCACTTGGCTTAGGACACAAAACCCATAAAACCGTGAGAGCACAGTTCAGGAGAGCAGCCATGCTGGTTTGCTGACTTCCTCTTGGGAAGGTAAGTATGAGGCAGAGAAGTAGCATGGATACAGAATCGGGAGGCCAGAATTTAAGTCTGGTTCAGCCACTAGAGGAAGCCCCTGGAGTTTGAGCTCTAATGGCCTATGATTTTTTCCTACTTCAGAGCAACGTATTTCAATTTACCAAGCCCCTTCCATGTATGAGGCGTTATCTCTTTATTGTCATCAAAATTAACATTAAACAAATATTACGATCTCCATTCAGAGATGAGAAATTGGATCTCTATGAATTTATGGACACATTCCAGACTGTCAGAGCCATTAAGTGGCAGAGCAGGGACTGGGGCCTGACTGGTTCCACAGCTCGGGTTCTTGGCAAACACCGAGGCGAACCCTCTCTGCTAAGCTGCTTCTAGACAATGACCACCTTGTACAGAGAAGCTAGAGAGCTACCCTCTACTGCCTGGCTCCCCAGTACTCAGACCGGAAAAAAAGAAAGAATTCAGTTAATAAAATATGTAATGCAAAAACTCATGAAGGCATAGTTAGAAATGCGGAATTCGGTGGTCATAGTCTTGCCCACGTGTGTAGTATCTCCTCTTTCTACTTATAATCTCCACCTGAACCACTTCCTGACTTGGCCTTGGTGATGGGAAGGCCTGGCTCATCCTGTCTCTTGCGTCCACATCCAATCAATGACCAAGTATTGCTGATTCTACCTCCCAAGCCACAGCTCTGTTCAGGCCACCATCTCACTTGCTTTGGACCACTTCAGGAACATCCCAGCTTGTCTCTGCTCTGTCACTCTGACTCGCCTTCAAACCATTTTCCAAATTCCAACCAGACTGATTTTTGTACAACTTATGTGGTCATGTCGTTTCTCTGCTTCAAGCTTGTTGGTAGTCCTGGGGTCCTAGCTCCTGCTTATCTTGTCATGGCGGCTCTCAGCTCTCGCCTGACCCCAAGCATTCCCCTATGGGTTCTATGTCTCAGTCAAACTAAATTTGTTTCATTTGCCTGAAAATGCAGTGGTATCTCTTTCGCTTGAATTTTGCACATTCTGTTGTTTCAATCTGAACCACCTTCTGTCCACTTCTCCTGCAGCTTCCTCACCTGAGCAAATCCAATTGGTTCTTTACATCTCAACATAGATTCTTTCTCTTCCAGGAAGCCTTCCCTCATTCCCCAAGTCTGGTAAGTGTCTCTTTTACGAGCTCCAGGGCAGCCATATCTCCTTGGGCAGAACATCGCTTGCTGTGTTGTAATTGCTTTTTACTTATTTAAAACTCACACGGGACTGTGAGCTACATAGGGTGGGAAAACTGTATCTTGTTCATAAATTTCCCCAAGAGGCTAGCACAGTTCCTGTGATGTAGTCAGTATTTAATATACGCTCTTGAATGAATGAGTGAGTAGTATTCCTAGAGGCCTTGAACATGGGACCTAAGTTAACTTGACATCATTTATTCAGCAAACCGTAAAACATGCTTAGCCCTATGTTGGACTCTGAAGAATCAAAAATGATTAAGATTCAAAAACAAGAAGCGAAGCTTCTAGAAACAAACCCAAATTGCACATCTCTGATCTGGAACTAACATCTGGCTCGTGGGTTATTAGAATCAGATACAGCTCTTAGGGGATGGTGTTTAATATCTTCTCAGGAGAAATTGATAAAATGCAGGAACCGAGCTCTCTGCAAATAGCCAGGAGCTATGAAAGGCAATCTCTTCCTTATCTGGGAAGCCTGGATTGAAAAGCTCTGCCCAGCAGCCCAGAGATGAGACAGACAGGTCACCACATTTCCAAGGCCAGAGGGCAAGAGTCACCTACTTTATGTTCTTTGTTCTCATAGCTCATTCGGTAAGGGGAACTCTCCTACCCAGGAATTATTATAGAACCAGTGAAACCAGTAGGACTAGGGCAGAGGAAAATGTGAACTTGTCCCCTGCAGACATTTTCCCAACAGGCCATAAGAATCTCTCTCTCTCTCTCCCTCTCTCTCTCTCTCTCTCTCTCTCTCTCTCTCTCTCACCACATACACATACACAATTTCAAAGCTGAAAATCTCAATCCTCTCTTGAAGTTAACAGAAGCAACAAAACCAAGAATTCACAGTTCAAGATCCCCAGATAATAGAATAATCTGAAAGATATGTCTTTGAAGTATGTTTTAAAAAAAGAAGGAATAAAATTCATAAGCAGAGAGCAGGTCATTTTGAGAAAGTAATAGGTAGATCTGAGAAAAATCGGAATTCTTAAAATGAAAATATAGTCAGTAAAACTGAAAACTCAGTAGATGGGTTAAATAATAAGTTAGACGTGGCTTAAGATAGAATTAGTAGATGGAAGCTGGAGCTGAAGAAATCACCCAGATGGAATCATGGAGAGATAAAGAGATATTTTCCTGGGTCAGGAAATATAAAAGATGAGCCCGGAGCGTCTTGTGGTGCCAGAAAGTAGGATATGGGGGCACATCAAAGGGACACGGGAACCACCGGGAAGAGTTTTCAATGGCCAACTTTGGAAAAATTTGAGCAACACAGTAAAGTAGTATAGGATTATAATCCAAAGTATAAAATACACATCCACAGCTTTAAACTTATAGAAGTAAATTATTGAATAAATAAATGTGGGAGAAGAAACAAATCTCCCATGTAGATGAATTCCCAATAATTAATGTTGGTCCTCCCTCGAGGAGATGAAGCCTAGCTCCCCTCTCCACAGTGTGGAATGTACTTAGTGACTTCCTTCAAAGGACACAGTGTAGAAAGGGGGGAAAGGGTAACTTTACAGTGGAGAAATCTGACAAACATTACCTCTGCCAGGTGATCAAGGTCAATACCAACAGTGTAAAGTCATGCTGATGATATGTATCCTTGGCATGATGGGATGAGAATGGCACTTTACCCCTATGCTTTTGCTCCCCAAGTCCCATAACCTCCAGTCATAATCATGGGAAAAACATCAAACAAATCTTAACCGAAGGATATTCTACAAAATACGTGGCTAGTACTTCTCACAATTGTCAAGGTCATTAAAAGCAAGGGAAGTCTGAGAAACTGACACAGACGAGAGGAGCCTATCATGACATGATGACTAAATGCAATGTAGATCTTGGATGGGATCCTGGAATAGAGAAAAATATTAGATAAAAACTGAAAAGATTTGAATGAAGTATGAACTTTAAAAAAGTAAAAATAAATGGAGGACCTCATTTTCCTAGTAGCATATCTATATCTATATCTATATATATCTATATATATATAGATATATATAGATATAGATATAGATATGCTAGTAGCATGCAAAAGAGCCAGAAATATGATGCAAAAATGAACAACAGAATTGAAGGGAGAAATGAAATACCTAAAGTAAAAAAAAAAAAAAAAAGGGTGACATGTTCAATGCAACAGTCAAAATAAGCCATTAATATAAATTAACATGTGATAATGACACAAAAACGTAAGTCCAAAATAATACATACAGTATGATACCATTTGTGTAAGATTTGAAGATGCGGCAACTGTATTACATATGATTATGTGTATATACTTAATGTACTAATGGTGTATACACATGGATGAGAAGCGTACACATCAACCTTAGGAGAGTAGTTGTCTCTGGGGAGGCATGAAAGGAGAGAAATGGGACCAGAAAAGCATTAAAAAGAAATTGAACTTTTTCTGCAGTGTCATATTAAAAAAAAAAAAAATCTGAAGCAAATGGCAAAATGCTAACATGTCTTCATTCTTGGTGGGTGGAGTGTATGGTGGTTTTATGTTATTCTCTATATTTCTTCATGCTTGAAGTAGATAACAATATAAAAGTAGATAACAATATAATATAGGGAAAAAGCCAGAATAAAAATCGAATAGAAAAAAATGGCAAGAGAGACCAAATATTGATAAATCAAGAAGCAGCGATATAAGAGCATCAATTAAATATATGGAGGTGACGACCAGAAGAAATAGCTATAAGACTTCAGGACAGGTGCCTTTTAGGGGCAGGGCTGGAGATGGCGGAGGCAGCAGTGATTCTGCACAAGCCAGTGCTCACCTTTGAAGAAGATGAAGTTCAAGAGAACCATGAGCGTGTCTTCGGCGAACTCCTGCAGGCAGTCCGCCACTTGCCCGTATGTCTGCTTCCTCACGTACTCATTAATCCGCCTTCCGGTGGTAGCAGAATCGGTGAAGTTAGCGGAAAAAGCAAACGCTCCGTACAGCTCCCTGATGCTATCCAAAAATTGCTGCCTGGGCTTTAGCTGCTTGTCCAGGAACAGGGAGTTGCCTACTTTCAGTTCAAGTTTAGGGCTGGGCAGGTCAAGGGTGTGGATGAGGCTCTGGAAGCCTCGGTGGATGTCGGCTTGCAGGGTCTCTGTGAGGTTGAAGCCGAGACCCTCCAGGATCTGAGTCGAAGTGTCAGCTCGGGCCCCGAGGGAGAGCAGGGCCAGGGTGGTAGAGATGCTCACGGGGGAGAAGAGGATGTTTCCTGGGGTTTCAGCTGCCAGCTGCTTATACAAACGCAAAGCAAAGTCGGTAATGGCGGGTGTGACTTTGTGGTAGGCGGGGGCTGATTCCGAGAACTGACCGCTGTGTGTTTGAGATACCCCCACACTCTTATCTCCATGGGCAGGAAAGGGCTGACAGTAGACGGAGGCCAAGATTCCCGCTCCCAGCAGCCACAACCACGCTGGCCCCATCCTCTGAAAACAAGACATTGAACATGTCACTCTTCTTCATAAATATCTTCATGGCTCACGGCTCCCCATTGCTTACACAGCAAACCTCATATCCAGCCTGTACCCCACACAGGTGTCATGAGAGGCACTACAGAGGGTGAGGTGGAAGGTCAGCAAGCAGGGCTCCAGACACTACCTGCAAGGCTCCAGCCAGAGCACCAGCCCTTGATCTGCTTTACATATTGATACGTCTGCAAGATTTTGTCAAGAAAAGGACTCTGGGCTATAAAAAAACCCTTCTATGGTCTGTTCTCCCTCCCTCCCTCCCGCCTTCCTTTCTTCCCTCCCTTCCATCATTCCTTCCTCCCTTCCTTTTTCTTTTTCTTTCTAGTCATTCTTTCAATCATTCATTAACTTTCAGGGATTGGGGTGACGCTCAATATTCTGGAGCAGATATCCAGGACACTGTGACAATGTGTGATGCTGGGCTCCCCTTGCACCCAGCTGTGGCCATTAACTACCATCTGGCCAACTGGAGGGTGATGTGTGCAGCTCATGGGACAGGCTCTCACAGAGAGAGGAGCGCACTCTGATCTGTGGTCTCCCATTAGCTGGGGTGTGGGCATGGCGATCAGCCACGGGGACCTTGTGGGGGAGTGCCGCGTCCTCTTTCTACCCTACTGCGTGACACTGGCGATCAGCCACGGGGACCTTGTGGGGGAGGGCGGCCCACGCAGGGTGGCAAAGCCAGAGGATGGGTGGAGCCTGAGGGTAGAGATGAGAGAGAGAGAGAGCAGCTCTGCCTCCAACAAGCCTGTTATCTTGAGTACCTCTTGTCACATGCAGTGGCTGAAATCAATGTATTAGTTGGTACAGCAGCCTGGGAAAAATTTCTGTTATGGGTTGAATTGTGTCCACTCCAAATTCATATGCTGATCTTCTGTATCGGGGTGCGGTCTTGTTTGGAAATAGGGTCATTGAGTTGTAATTAGTTAAGATGAAGTCATTAGATGGGCCCTAATCCAACATGACTGGTGTCCTTATAAAAAAGAGACAATTTGAACACAAACAAGCACTCAGGGAGGATGCCACGTGAGATGAAGGCAGAGATCTACAAACCCAGGCTCGTCAAAGATTTTCAGCAAAGCCCCAGCAGCTAGGGGACAGGCCTGGAGCAGATTCTCCCTCACGGCCTCAGAAGCACCCAGCTCTGCGGACACCTTGACCTTGCAATTCTGGTCACCAGCACTGTGAGACGATGCCTTTCTGTCATTTAAGCCCCCAGCCTGCTGTGCTAATACGACAGCTCTTGTGCTTAAGTTGCATGTGCTGGAACCTTGGATCACCTCTGGAGGGTCAGATCGATGCAGGGCAGATGACCCTTTGCTCCAGGCCTGGAGTTCAGCTCCAGCTGGAGGTGAAACAGCAGTGTAGACGCGTGTCTCTGCTCTCTCTGCCCGGGTGTGGCATCCCCTTCCCATCTGAGGTCCCCCGCACACACATCCCCACGTGCTCACAGAGCACACGCCGCCACAATGCCACTCAGAATCCCCCTCAATGTCCCCAGTAAGGAGAGTATTGTCCCCCTGCTTCCTTCAAAACCGACTCCCGCTGTCGTGTTCCTCAGTGGCTGCCAGATCCTTGTTCCTCTGTCCTGGCGATGTTTGTGCCTTAATCAGCAGCGTGAACACTTTTCGCCCAAACCGGTGGTCTCTGAACCAATTACAAATGCCGTGGTAGCGCGGGAGAGATCACAATTTTGCAGATGGTTCACAGGGCCTGGTGTCCTAAATACCCTGCCAAACCTCAAAGGCCACTTGTCAGGAGGGACGAGTGTAACCTCATTATCAGTTATGTCGAAACTCATTTGCTGGTCAAAGTACTGTGGGCAGTTCCCCAAGGTCCTGTTCTGCCTCCCTCTGCCACAGCCCGCTGTGGGCTCGCTTAGTGACAATTTCCGTTCACGCCGAATATTCTTTTGAAGGGGAATTTAGAAGAAGCAGAACACTTTAAAAATTGATCTGCCCCTGGGGAAAATAAATACGACCATGACAAAACTATTTCCGGATTATTCTTTTTATCCTGCTGCACCCAGAGCATTCCAAGACTTGCAGAAGGATCTGTTTCTCAAAGAGGATTGCATTGTACGTCAGGGGCCTGGGTTCGCATCAAGGCTCTGCAGCAGCTCACTGCGATGCCGTGCAAAGGAACCTCCCTGGATCGCAGTGTCCCATTTGCAAAATGCAAATGATAATGCCTACCTTCCAGGGGCGGGGTCACTTAAGGATTACAAGACCTACCAGCACTTGCACAGGGAAAGTATGCAGTGTTAATTTTCACCCCCTTCTACTGAAGCTGGTGTAAGTTATACTCTATTTATTTATTTCTTCCTTTTCCAGAAAGATCCCAGAGGAATAATTAAGAACGCCATTAATTAATTATAATATTCCCATGTCCTGTTTATTTTGGGGTGAGGATGTTAGATACATTGTATCACTGGTTCCCAGCCAGAGGTGTTCTAAAATGCAGGAGGAGGGACGGGTGTGAAGAGGGGGATGGTATTCTGGGTCATCTCAGAGACTGGAGAAGGGGGCGCTACTGGAGTTTAGTGGGAGAGAGAAGGCTCTGGAAATGCCAGAACAGTCCCATGCGATAAAGAATGGTCCTGCCCAGAGGCCAGCAGTGCCCCGGCTCAGGAACGCTCGCTTCAGGTCATTAAACTGAATCCCTACGAGAACCTGAAGGCACAGGCATTATCATCCCTGTGGTACATATGGGGAGACCGACCGACTCAGGGTCAAGACGAGGGCCTGCGAGGCGGCAGGAGCGTGAATCAAAGTCCGGACCAGCGCTCCGGAGCACGGCCTGTTTCACACAGCAGAGTTTTTCGTAAATTTGCTATAACCAACTTATCATTTTGCTTTGGGTTGTATTCTGTTTTTTTTGTTTGTTTGTTTTGTTTTGTTTTGTCTAACTGCTGGGAATACTGGGAGTTCTCTCCAAGTTTTTTAAAGTCCAAGTTTTTCATGAGAGGTTATTTATAACTTGGAGTTCCTACTTCAAACCTTAGAATCAGAACATCGTGACATTTTTACTTTAGGGGACTCAGTTCTCCCATTCTCGCTGCCAGAGAGAGAGAGAGAGAGAGAGAGAGAGAGAGAGAGAGAGACAGAGAGACAGAGAGACAGAGAGACAGAGAGACAGAGAGAGAGAGACAGAGAGAGAGACAGAGAGACAGAGAGAGACAGAGACAGAGGCAGAGACACTGCCACCTCTGCCTTCTGCCTTCATTTCCGGCAGAAGCTGGTACTCACGGCAAGGTGTTGGGTCTTCAGCAAGGCCTCACCTCCTACCCACAAGAAAGCATTTGAAGATTACAGCAGCAGAGTCAATATTTGTCAGGTCGGTTCTCGGAACCAGTATGAAGATAATGCGCAGCAAACAGGAAGGGACCTTTTTTCAAAGTATCTGTCCTGCCTGCCTGTCCTACAAAGGGTGAATTGTGATTTTGGACCCAGCTGGATTTAAGGAGATTCTGATATTGGCGATGCAGGCAGCGGGTCGTGATGCGGATGTTGCTGATCCATTATGGGTGTTCCGTGTGTTCCAGCCAGTGGCCTCTACAAATCACCCTCACAATAAGAATGCAAATGTTAACTGAACCTATTGTGGTTACCACTGTACACTATGTCAAACCATCCTGCTGTAGACCTTAAACTGATATAGTGATGCGTGCCTATTATTTATCAATAAAACTGGGGGAAAAAAGAATGTGAGAGAGGCACGATCATTCCTACTTTATAGATGGGAAACTGGGGCTCTGCTCACTCCATGGGGAGTGGGGTCACACTCAGAAGATAGATCTGTGCCCCCAGCTGAAGTCCTTCCCACCACACCATTAGGTGTTCTATTGATACTTTAAATAAATATAGTCCGTGTACAGAAGAAAGACTGGAAGGAAATTCAGAAAACAGAGCAAAATCTCTCCTGTATTGAAAGCCTCACGAAGTGGGATCATTGACTTGTGTTCACCCATGTATCGCTCAAGATCTAGAATGAAGCCTGGAACTGAATGAATATTTATTATGAGCGAATCTTTAGGTGATGGAGTCGAGGTGACTTTTATGTTCTTTGTTGATGTTCATATTTGCCTGATTATTAGCTCACAAAGAGCACGTATCTTATTTATAACAACAAGCAATAAAACATTGTTAAAAATAGAATTATTTAATCATACACGTAAGACGAAATAAAAGCGTGTCCTGATTGGTACAATGGTTGTAATCCAGAAGCACTTTTAATACATGAAGGCTCCCAGGAGGCTGAATCTGATTCTGCAGTAGGTGGGGCTGGAGGTGGCTCTGGCCAGACTCGTGTGTGAGGCACAACACAGGCCCCGGCTGGGGAGTCTCAATCAGTGTGTGCTGGAAAGGTGAAGGACAAGGACAGTGGGCCCAGGCACTGATGGGGTCTGCCACACCCACCAACAGAGACCCTACCCCTGGGTCCAGAACAGCGCCGAGATCCTTCTGGGTGTTTTATAAGGACACATTTGCAGTGTGAACAAACAAGAGAATTGGCCAGAGTTCCTTTCTCACGTAAGAGGGATCCAGTTCACTCTTGACTTGCACATAAATTACCTGGCTCTTCGCAGCGATCTTTCACGTGCTGGAGGACGAAGAATCAGCTTTGGGAGGCATGCAGTTGGGGTTCTACCCCAGACCCGGCCACCGTTGAGTGCATCTCATAGAGCTGTGGTGGGAGCTAAATGCGACTGTGCATAGGCGATGTCGATGCAGTGTCTGGCCCAGGCCAAGAAGAGAGAGGAAAGAGAGCGAGAAAGAGAGTTTTTAAGGAGTTTGGATCACATGGTTACGGAGGATGGCAAGTCCAAAATCCGTATAGTGGGCTAAGAGGCTGGAGACCCAGAAGAGCAGAGGACGTGTATGTGCTGTTTGAGTCCCATGGCCATCTACTGGAGAATTCGCTCTTGTTCAGGGAGGTCAGTCGTGGGTCTATTA